CGCTATCGATGGCTTCGCTTGCCGTTTGGAGTATCCCCAGCTCCAGAGGAGTTTCAGAGGAGGATTGATATTGCAAATGAAGGCCTACAAGGGCAGAAGACTATAGTAGACGACATCCTGGTGTTTGGAGCAGGGGACACCGACGAGGAAGCACTCAAAGATCACGACCACAACCTCCAACATGCCGTATTTAAGGGATGTGAGAAAATCACTTTTAATCGCTCATGACCAAGGACTGGTGTCAGATGAGGAACTGTTGCTATTACTGAAAGAGAATTCGTCAAAAAACCCTGAGTTTTCGTACGAAAAATACGCGAGGTTTAGTATCGAGAGTATCGAGGAACCTGAGTGCAAGTCCGAGTTTAGAGTTGAAAAAAAGGACCTTCCACTGCTGGCTGATGCGCTTCGACTACCGGACACCTTCCACTGTAATCAGAGAACCACTGCCGACAAGTTAGAGGGGCTATGTATTTTGCTCAGGCGAATGTCGTTTCCTTGCCGATACAGCGACATGCTCGCACGATTCGACCGACCGGTTCCTGAACTTAGCATGATATCAAATACGGTGATGAATTATATTTACGATATACATGGTCACAAACTGTGTCAGTGGAATCATGATCTACTGAATCCACGTGACTTCAACACCTACACGGATGCTATATCGAATAAAGGGGCTGCACTACAAAACGTAACGATCTTGCACTGATCCTTTTGTCATTGAATCCTTGAATAACGGATCTTGTAATCCACTTAGCGCCTCTGCGATCGACAGCCATATTTGCGCTCGGTTGCTCGTTTTCTTCTTTGCTTTAAACGGATTCTGCACTCTGACTTCTTTCATTAGTGCTACGTCGTGCTGTTCAGACCACTCCATAGGCCCACTACATAAAAGAAAAAAGATATAAGCGAGCGAGTGTTTACTGTAGGTAGTAGCTGTATAAAATAGTCGATCACATTTCAGCACTAAAAATAAAAGAACTTAATGGCGGGGAAATTAATGCACTTTGTTGAACGTGAAATACGGCGACATAAAACTCTTGACAAAAAGAACACAACTAATGACAAAAACAAACACATGGCAAGATAACTTGCTATTATATGAGTATTTTTCCTGTTCTGGAAAAAACCTCGGCTCGTGGGGTAACAAAAAGAATGGCGACAAACAAAAACCAATTCACGATAAAACAAAACCAAGTAACAGAACCTGCGGAAACTTGTGCCAAACACACAGTTAGGCACATTTTGTCCCAGTTATAAAAGTTATTGTTTAAGTGCATGTAACGATGCTGTGATGTCATGGGCTCTTCGGGCATGCGCAGTAGAATGAACGGGTATCCCGGACGTCGTTGTTATTGTATTACGCCTGGTAATGGCGGGCTTTTATGAGACCTATTAAAGAACCGTTGTGTTGCCATCGTTGTTGTACTCGTTTGGACTACGCTACAGGATGGATTTCAGCGGTGGAAACCTTCCCGTCAAGTGGCAAAGATCCTGTCGAGAGTGGTCAAATTACGAAATCGCCGCTCAACTGAAAGACCCCGAAAACCCGGCCAGAAATAAGGAGCGACGGCAGCCACGCTACTTACATGTATCAGTTCTGATGCATTAGACGTAATTGATGCCATGGAATTCGAGAACGAGGACCAAAGAAAAGACCCAGAAGTGATCCTAGAAAAAATGAAAGACTACTGCATTGAGGAGTGCAATGAGACCTATGAAAGATATATATTCAACCGCCGGGACCAAGAGACAAACGAATCAGTTGATGCGTATGTCACCGCATTACGAAAATTAGTGAAGACCTGCAACTATGGGTCACTGACAGACTCGCTTATTCGTGATAGAATGGTGGTGGGCATTAATGACAACTCCGCTCGTAAGAAGCTCCTGCAGACAAGCAAGCTCACATTAGGACAATGCATAGACATCTGCAGATCTTCACAGACACCATCAAGGCAGCTGAAAGAGATGAATCAAGAGGATGTCCGTTTAGTGAGGGATAATAAAAAAAAAACAGTTGACAAAAGGAACGCAAAGGTTCCAGAGAAGAGCCAAAACGAGCCACACGAACGCAAATGCAAGTTTTGTTCCAGATATCATCCTTTCACTAAGAAGAACTGCCCTGCATGGGGAACATCTTGCAATAATTGTGGCAAACTAAATCATTTTGCGGTATGTTGCCAAGAATCTAGGAAGAAAGTGCTGTCTGTGGACTACACATCCGAAGACGAGGAGTACTAAAATGTGGCTGAGATAGAAGTGAAAGAGCAGGTTAATGCACTAGCCTCTAATCGCTCCCCCAACAAAGTGTTTGCCCCTCTGCTGATCAATGGAATCCAGGAAAAGTTTCAGTTAGACAGTGGATCAACCATCATGACGGATGAGACCGTGTTAAAGCTCTGTGGCCAAGACGGCTTGAGTGACTTGGAAAAAACCCCTGTGACCCTGGTAATGTACAACCAGTCCGAGGTCAAACCCTTGGGCAAGAAACGATTCAAAGTCGTCATCCCCAAGAACAACAAGAAATACAACATCGAGTTTCATCTCGTTCGTGGGAAGTGTAAATTCATTTTGGGCTTGAGGGCCAGCCAACACCTTCAGCTGCTAACGGTCAACAGCCAGAATATTTGTTCTGTGGAGCTAAGTGGGGTAGAGGAGAAAGATCCCAAGGTGGAAGACTACATTTCACAGTACACCGACGTATTCACTGGGGAAGGCAAAGTAGAAGAGCTACTCCACCTGGAGATAGACAGAAACGTCCAGCCAGTCCAGCTACCTACACGGAAAGTCCCCATTTCCCTCAGAGAGCCTCTAAAGCATGAACTAGACAGATTGTCAAATATTGGAGTGATTCAGAAGGTCGATACACTCACGAGCTGGATTTCAGCACTTATGGTCACAACAAAGAAAAATGGCAAAGTTAGACTATGTATTGACCCAAAACCGTTGAATGAAGCCTTACACAGAAATCATTACCTCTTACCTACAATAGATGATGTGCTGCCCCTGTTATCGAAGGCCCGTGTGTTCACGGTCCTAGATGCGAAAAATTGTTTCTGGCACATACAGCTGGATGAGTCAAGCAGTTTTGCTACTACCTTTGGAAAACCCTGGGGACGCTATCCATGGCTTCGCTTGCCGTTTGGAGTATCCCCAGCTCCAGAGGAGTTTCAGAGGAGGATTGATATTGCAAATGAAGGCCTACAAGGGCAGAAGACTATAGTAGACGACATCCTGGTGTTTGGAGCAGGGGACACCGACGAGGAAGCACTCAAAGATCACGACCACAACCTGCGAGAGGTGTTCATCCGCTGTCGGCAAAACGACATTAAGCTCAACCCAGAGAAGATACAGTTCAGACAGAAGCGGGTCAGCTACATGGGCCACATCATATCATTGGAGGGCTTCCAGGCAGATCCAAACAGGCTGAAAGCTATCAATGAAATGCTGCCTCCTACTGACAAGGAAGGTGTCCAGAGAGTACTAGACATGATAAATTATGTGCAGAAGTTTGCTCCCAGCCTAGCAGATTTGGCCAAACCACTGAGAGAGCTTGTCAAGAAGGACAATAAATTTATCTGGGATAAAGAAGTTCATGGCCAGTGTCTAGATCAAGTGAAGCAGGCCTTAACCCAGGCACCAGTACTCAAGTTCTTTGACCCCCGAAAGAAGACCGTACTCCAGTGCGACACCTCTATGAGTGGGCTTGGGGTGTGCTTGATGCAAGATGAACACCCTGGAGCGTATGCCTCCAGGGCACTGACGCCTACGGAGATTAACTACGCTCAGATAGAAAAAGAACTACTAGCAATTGTCCTTGGAGTTGAGCGATTTGAGGGCTATGTCTATGGCAGAATAGTTTTCATTGACACTGATCACAAACCTTTGGAATCTATCATGAAAAAAAGTCTATTGAGTGCACCAAAGCGATTGCAGAGGATGCTATTGCGTCTACAGAAATTTTTACTTAGACTTTTCTTACAGAAAGGGTACAGAGATGCACATAGCTGACCCACTTAGCCGAACTTACCTCCCCCTAGGTACACAGGACATAGAGGACACACAGGAAGTATGGAGCATTGCCGCCACAAGATCACAAACGGAAGTTGAGACGGAGTATGTAGACATGGCGGAGTCTGTACCCATTCGGAGACTAACGTTGCAGGAAATGAAAAGTGCCACTGAAGTTGATACAGAGCTCCAGACACTGACTCCTTTTATCACACAAGGCTGGCCAGAGAGAAGGACTGAAGTACCCTCCCAGTTGCAGGTCTACTTTCCCTTCAGAGATGAGTTGTCAATCCAAGATGGTATTGTTTTCAAGGGTGACCGCATTATAGTGCCATCTAGTCTCAGACAATCCATAGTGGCTAAAGTACATGCTAGTCACCTGGGCATTCAGAGGTGCCTCAGGAGAGCCAAAGAAGCCTTCTACTGGCCAGGCATCTACAAGCAAATCACGGAATTCATCTCAA